CGGACGGCGGTCGACCCGGTCGTCACCGCCTGCCACCGACTCTTCTCGATGAGAACGGTGATGTCCACTATCATGTGGACGTCTTGTCGGATGACGTCGTCACCAGGGTCAAACTCAATATCTGGTAAAGTGGCGGGTATATCCCGACTCCGACAACTCGTGGGAATTTAAGGCGCCACTTCCTCAAGATTACCCAGTCGCCGTAAACGCTTTTGATCGGGAAGATCAAAACGTCCCGTGCTTCCCGGCGATAGTCAGGGAAGTTCAAAGGCCATGAGCTGAGCTCAAGCAGTGACCCTGAGCTCTTGCGACCGAAGACACAGAGCTCGCGGGAGCATTAGGGGTTGTTGACCATACGTCACAGAGCAACAATTCGAATGAAGTCGACGGCGTGCGTTAAGTTTAGCAAACGCAAATCGGAGGTGTCGCTCCACACGCTCGTCCACTTCCTTGTGGCTCAACTGCAGGTTATGCAATGAGGAAAGGTTTCGGTGCCGTTGCACCCATCGCCTAAAGAGCGCTTCGTCATCTGTAGTGCTTTCGCCATAGGCGAGCACTACAGCTATCGTCTGCATTGCGGGTACTCGAGAGCCACCTCGTTGTGCACTTAGACGAGTGCGATAATCGTTTGGCGGAATTTCTTGTGGGACCAAGAAACAAGCTTGAAGAGCTTTCCGTGTGGCAGGTTCATCATCCGTTCTGGCCGAAGGCCCGATGATGTGGACGCGTAACGATCGAGTTACTGCGTCCTTCGCTTCCATTGCGCGACCGACAGGGCGGAAGCCATATATCATACGAGGGTCAATGACCGACCGTGGATAAGCGCGCTTTAGAGCCGCCCTTTGGGCAGCTTCAAGCTGCCGCCTTTTTTCCGTCGAAGTCATTGGTGATTACACCACGATCCTCAGTTGACAAGAATTCAGGAAACGGACATGGGGCCCGCAAGGCGTGAGCGGGGCTCGTATCACGCTGCTGGTGCAGCTCGCCTTCGTCGTCATCCCATGCGGGAAAAGAGGTGTCAGACTCATAGTCGACTACATCTTTAACGAGGCCACTTGGCACTGAAAGCGTGCGCGGAGCGCGACGTTTGTGCTCATCGTGCCTAGGATATACATCCCTCGGTGCCGCGGACGCACTGTCCGACATGGCACCGCGTGCGGTGAGCTCTGCCCGTGCTTGCTGTCATAACCAGCGAGACTTGATGTTTTTCGTGTCGTGGACACTGAGCTCATTGAGCAAGGAAGTTGTTAAACTCGAACAAATTAAGTTGCAGTTTCTAACGGACACGCGAGCCTCTTTGAGGAAATAATTGACTGGAACTGTAAATGATCTCAATCTTAGTGGGAAAGGGTGTAACGGGGTTACACGAACCATAATAACAGGAATGTGTGTGTCACACAAGATGTGCATAATGTGACCACT